TTCTAGCCAAACACATTTTTCTGGTCTTTGCTAAGTGCATTCTGGCGATGCTGAGATCTGTCAGTCTGCACTCTTGGGCTGCAATCCAGGGAGACAGATCCCAGTTGTGGACTCCTTGAACGTTGCCAGGCCGTCTTGTCATGTGCTTCTTCCACGTCCAGCCTCATGCCCCCTGCTGGGAGAACGGCCCTGGGCACCAACCCAAGTCCTTCTTGCAGTTCTTCTCCCTGGCACAGCCCCCAAGATGCAGACATATCTTCGTGTCCTTCTTCCATCTGAGGACATTATGGACGAGTCTGTACAGCCCTGGCAGCTCCTGCCTTGCAGCCTTTGGTTTATTCCAGTCGTTCCTGAGCCTCCCTGAAAGGTGGTGCTGCAGGGTCCTTCAGGTATGTGCTAGGAAGGAGACACCCTGCCCTTCCCACCTGACCACCTTGTCTTCCCCACCTTGGTTTCTGAGAGTCACCACAGAGCCCTCTCCATGGAGAGGTTGTGAGGATTCCAGCAGCTAGTCATGCAAAATGCCCTGTAAGCATTCCTCAGAGGGAACCAGCAGCCCTGCCCAGCCCCTTGGTCTCACTGGAGGTGAGCACAGCTCCTTCCCCAGGCGATATCAGCAAGGGAAAAAATCCTGGTGTCCAGGGTCTCAATCTCTTCCCTATGTGTCTCTTACCCACATGGTGCTGGGTAAAAACTCCCTGGGTGTTATTCCTCATTGACTAGGAGCCTCACCTGTAGCTCACAAATGTTCCCAAGCTGTTCATTTTATCCATACCTCATAGACAAAATGAAACGTGGCCTGTCTCTCCCGGAAGCAGCCTTTAACTGCCTTTAAGGGTAAAGTCCCAGGTCCTTCCTTGGCACACAAGGCCCACTATTGCAGCCTCAGATGGCCGTTCAGCTCCCCTGAGCTCCAGCCACTCTGGACAGCTTTCGCTTCTTCCACATGCCATGTACTCCAAGTCTCCATGTGTGCCCTTCCTTTTGTCCACACATTCTCACCACCCTCCTCATCTTTGGAGTCTCTGCTGAAATGTCCTTTTGGCACAGAGACTTACAGATCCCCTGTAGGCCTTGCAAGAGACCCTTGCTGTACCTTCTCAGGACACCATGCTTTTGATCCTAGAACACACATCACATTGATAAATGTTTTTATATTGTGATTGGTCAACACTGAGAGGCTGGAGTGTCCCCATGAGTGTTGACGGTTGGACTCACCTGCCTTTGCCATGCAGAGGCCTTGGCAGAATGTTTAGGCTCTCTTCACTCTGTTCCTCTGCAGCCTCCATGGTGCCAAAGTAGGATCTGTCTGGGGCATCAATATATGTGTCATGAGACACCACTGCTGGATGCTGGACTGGAGAAAGTCTCATTCACTACTGGGACAAGTAGTAACCAGGCATTGTAAATCCTGCTTTCACCCCAGAGTGGTGACAAAGATAATTGTTCCCTTTTGACTATAGACTTATATTGTTCTTCCTGTGCCTTGGGAATTCTGAGGGTGGATGATACTTTTCCTGTTCACAGGGCAGGAGGTCTCACTGTGGGACAGTGACTTAAAAGAATAATAGTGAATATGTGAAAAGAGGTGTTGGTGAGGGAGGCCCTGATGAAAGAGAATGGAAATGGGGAGGAGGAAGAACATTCTGGAATTCAGTGTAGGGTCTTGGTAACACTCTCAGTACTTCCTTTTGACCAGAATTGACAGGAATTTGTGAACCAGAGCTGGCCCAAAGCCACACATAAGAAAAAGGTGTGATGTGGCCCTAGGGAACATTCATCCTTGTTGTCTCTGTGTTTAATTAAGACACTAAGGAATGACTCCACTCTAGAGCCTGGTTCCTCCTTCCAGATCTTTCAATGAGTGCCTGACCACACACCACTGACTCCTGCAAATGAGATTTTGTGTTGTTGTAGTTTTGTGGTATTGGGGATTGAAACCAGGGCTTTGTACATGCAAGAGAGTGCTCTGTCATTTGAGTTATACCCCTAGTCCTTTTGTTTTCATTTTGTTTTTGAGACAGGGTCTCATTAACTGCCTGGGCTGACCTCAAACTCAAGATCCTCCTGCCTCTACCTCTTGAATAGCTGGGATCAGGTATGCACCACCACATCTGATTCATACCTTGTAGTGAGCGCTCTTAAGGCAGGGTATGTTGAGGTTAAGAACTTGGTGTTGCCTTAGTGCAAGGCTGGTCAGGAACAAGCCCCCATCTGTGTTCACTCTTACTCCTTTAGCCCTTCATCTTTGCTCAACTTGAATGTGTGTGATCATTATTGAATTTGTTCATCTTATGACAATCTAATATTCATAGCTTTGCAGTCAGACCTTGAAGACACTGAGTCATGTATTCTTGGAAGGAAGTAGCTTTCCCAGAGATGACCACCTATATAGTCATGAGAAAAAGAAAATCACCATCTGTGGACTCACAAATTTACACGTCCAATTCCATGAAGTTAGGCCATAATATATCAGAATAACCTTATATTGTTTCTTCCTAAGAGTGTGTGTCTTTTCCAGAGTTTGGATGTCCATTACTACAATGGTCCAGGCAGCCATTGTCCATCCAAGGGGTCAAGTTACTGTTTGAGTCCTGTATGTCAAGTGGAATGAGACAGGTGGGAGGTGGCGAGTGGTCCATGTAGGCTGAAGTCTAGCAACCATCAGTCATAGATCCTCCCTACTCTGCCTCCATAGGCACCTGGGGATGGCTAGTGGACATGGCTCTCCCTGTCCATGATAGAGTCACCAGCAGGCATCCTTGTCAGTGTTCCCCAGATGCTCATCCATGAAAATTCACATGCATGCCACATGCTAGACTGTTGGAAACACATTTTCGTTTTGATGTGGCTATTCTGAAGTAAGTGTGTGCAAACACATATGCTTTCTGTCAACCAAATGATGACACTGCCATTGCTCAACTTTGCTTTTGCCATGCTTGTAAAGCTAATGGGGTTTTGTATCTTTTTGCTAAATGCTGTATTATCAAATGAAAAAGAAATTACCATAAAAATTCCTTCTACACCAAAGGGGACTTTTCTCAAAGGCATGTGCTCTCTTTCTCATTATGTAGCCCGGTTTTTGCTTTTAAGGAAAAGGACATGGGATACCCATTCTCAAGCACATGGGCTCTGAGCTGGGCCCTTTCGCTCCCTCCTGGTACTGCCAACCCTGGCATCTTTGTCTGGAAATTATGAGCTCATATCACCTTCCTTCTGAGACTGCCCTGTCTGCCCACCCTCCCCCACACACAAGTTCTTGGGAAGTGGGTTCCTGTGCTAGGCTAGAGTCCCCAGAGAAGAAGCACAATGTGGAATCAAGTCCCAGACGTGTAGAGGTCCTCATTCCTCCACCCCCATTTCCTACCTGAAGGGCATTAGAGGGATTCCCATGAGGGTTTTCTTTTCTGTGGTTTTGGAAACTACGCAGGACTACAAGGAAAGGTTGGAATCTTCCATTGCTTCTCTCCCTACCTACCTCCCTACCTCATTCTCAGAGGAAGGCAACCTGAGAGCAGACAAGGGTAGGGGACTGCCCTCAGTGAATCAGGCAGAATGACTTCTTGCTTAGGAAGCTGAGGGCAGCTGGGTGCCCTCCCTGTAAGGCCTGACTCTCTAGGTGATGCCAGACCCTGGCTCACTAATGGGCTGAGAGGCTGGCTTTGCACACTGCTTCACCAGCCTGAGCTAACAGGATGTCACTGCAGAGAAAGAGCAGTATGATCTGCAGGTTCCTGTGAGGTCTGAGCAGGTCCCTTCCAGTTCCTGCTACATACAGATCCTGCCTGAATTCCTTTATCACTTTGAGCAGCATATGTGTAGGGCGCCAGCACACACTCCTGGAGTGTCTGCCAGGATTTCAGCCATGTTGCCTTGTCCAGATAGAGGTGAAACCCTCAAGAACGACTGATCCTTCTCTGGCCTATACATGAGGCAGTTGACTCAGAGGTTTTTGTATTCTCAATCATTTTTCTACCCATCCAAAACTCTCAAGTGTGAGCTTTGCTCAGCAAAAACATGCATAAACCAGCCTAAGCCATGTCTGCTCCCTGGAGCAGCACATAAGAACTTGAGCATTTTATCTCAGTAAGCATCAAATCTCCAGGTTTGATAGGTTTACAAATAGTCCCGTGCCCACGAGTGACTCTTAAATAAGTTCCGAAACCATGGACTAATTTCACATCATAAGCAAACATAATCCAGGCAAAAGGTAATAGGCCTCACTGGTTTAGCCACTGATTTCAGAAAACATTAGGCTACTACTGCTTTTCAACTTGACACACTTGAGATTTTTTTGCTTTTTCCTCAGAGAGGCAAAAGGAGTATGTATTTATTTTCTATTGCTGCATAACGAGTTACCACAAATGTAGTGATTGAAAAGAGCACCCATTGATTATCTCACAGTTTCTGTAGGTCAGAAGTCCTGCGTGTTTGAGCTAGAGTTGAGCCCTGGTTGTCATGAGGCTATAATCAGGCTTATAGTCAGCTGGGCTCTGATCAGAAGGTCCTGGAAGAGTCCACCTTCAGGCTCACTCAGGGTATGGGCAGAACCCAGCTCCTTGTACTTGAAAAAGTGAGGTTTCCATTCCTTTTTGCCTCTCAGCCAGGGTTCATTCTCCTCTGGAAGCCACGGTTCAGCTTCCAGAGGCTACCCACATTCCTATCACTTGATCTCCTTCATCTTGAAAGCCAGCAGTATGTGAGGGATGCTTATGCTGCCTTTTCTGTAGCTAACTGGAAATCTCTGATGGTAAAACACCCACCTAATTAATCTCCATATTTCAAAGTTGACTAACTTGGGATTTTCAGGTCATCTGCATAATCTCTTCACAGAGGCACATGCATTAGTATTTGACTGAGTAACCATGGAATAGGAATCTTGGGCCCATCTTTAGACTTCCACCCAACACAGAGCAATTAATGTCACCTCCATCCTCACATCTTATGAACCCCTAAGAACTCCCTGTTGTCACTGTAATCTCTACTCTTGTTTCCACTAGTGAGTTCTGGGGATCCTAAGCCTGAACCAGAGGCCGAGCAGGTTGCTGATGAAGCCAGCCAGGACCTAGCCTTGGCCCCAGGAGGAGCAGAGAGGGAAGAGGATCGGACACTGGAGCCAGAACCAGAAGACAGAGCTTCCCTCAGTGAAAAAGAGAGGCAGAACGAGGAGGTGAATGAGAGAGACAACTGCTCTGCCTCCAGCATCTCATCCTCCAGCAGCACGTTGGAGAGGGAGGAGAAAGAGGACAAGCTCGCTAAGGACAGGGTGACTGGTAAATAAAACTCCTTTCTTAGTACATTCCAACAAACCGTGGGGCAGAGAACCTGGTTTGCTGTTGAGTCTGGCTATAGGCTTACTCCAAAGGTGACCTGTGGGGACATCTCACTTCCCCAGCCGTGTCACTCACTGTCAAGAGATGTCACACACAGCCAACCAGCAGCCTCCTACCTGATAGGAAGGTGAACCCAAGCCCTCTGCTGTGTGTTTCACCTCTCACTCCCACAGATGGCATAAAGGGCCCAGATAAAGAGGTCTTTTCCTGAGGGATGAGTTATAAAAAGGACACTTCTCATCTCCCTCTGTTTGTTTAATTGGTTTTAATAGTAATGACAGCCTTTTCCAGGTTCTGATTTAAGTTTAGAGACCAGTTTGTCTCTATTTTCTGTTTTAAGATAGGGATTGTGGGCTGGTGGAATGGTCAAGTGGAAGTATGCCCGCCTAGCAAAGGTGAAGCCCTGAGTTCAACCCCCCAGTACCACGAAAAAAGGATTGTTTTAAATGAAGTATATCAAACATGATGACTGAACTTTTCAGAAAGGAATAGGTCTTTTTAAAATGGATTGAGTATTTCCAAAATATTGTGGGTCATGGTGTGTGGGGGTGAATTTGATATGTTACTGAACGGTGACATACAGGATCTAAGTAGTTTCCTACATTATTCTCAGGAACACTGTTCTTGGGTGTAATGTAAAAGTTTTTCCTTGTGTAATGACAGTCACTTGGATCACCTGTGTGAGGGGGACTTTATGATTAGCAGCACCCAGTGGATTGCTAGAGTATAGGTTTAGGTCTCAAAAACCTCACCAGGGCATAGGGAGATGCCACCAAAGGTTATAGAAGCTGTAAATAATTTGCATGATCCATGACATGGGTTTTTCTACTCATGACTTGTGTGCCATCGAATAGAATGCTGCCTCCTGAACGGACACTCCTCAGCAGGGAGTCACGGCTTACGGGCTCATCTTCATTAAGCCACATACAAGGAGCACGCATGCAAGTTCCAAGGCTCCACAATGACTTGCCAGTTAGTGCCATGATCCATGCATGGCATCTTAGTTCCTAGACTGAAAATACTCTGAAGCATGGAAGACTGAGTGAAAATCGAATGAATGAATTAAGCATACCTGTTAATCAATGGCTGAGTCTAAAATAGTTACTATTATACTTTTTCCAAGTTAGAATATACTATTAGATTTTATTCTCTATGTTATCAGTAAATTTGATGAATAAGGAAGGACCAAAAGACTTTATTAATTTATATCAGAAATTATTGTGCTGAAAATCTTGTGTCTGGTTAAAAGTGTATGGGCTAATATTTACATAATTTCTTTCAAATTCATAGTTAGTCTTCCAAATTCTGCCAGTATTATTCACATTTAATGGAATTATGGTCATAGTACGGTGTGTAGGGTAAGTCCTCTTGATCAATTTAGCTTTAAAATTGGTTTATTATGTGTAGTATTAAGAATTCATCATATCTGGGTCAAGCTGGATTAGTAAAAATAAGACCAGAAACAAAACTTTCCTAAATTAGATTATATAATACTCTTCTAAATAAGGACAACTTTCCAAAAATGGAGACTGTGCCATTGCTGAGCAAGCAAACCACTGGCAGAGAACAACTTTGGTGAAGGTTAGGGACAGAAGACCTGATTATGGATGATATTGAAAGCCTTGAGACTAGATGAGTCGGTGACTACAAAAGTGTGGGTAAATGGAGATATGAGGTCTAAGGAAATTTAAAGGTTAAAGATGAGGAATCAGCAAAGGAAGCTAGGAAGCAATAACCAAAAAGAAAGAAGCAAACCAGGTAAATGTCATATCCAGGAAGGATACCTGTGAAGGACAGTGATTGGCTGAGTCTAATGCAACATGAAAGTCATTGGTCACCTTTCCAGGAACTGTTCCTAGAAAGCAACAGTTTTGAAGGGTAGTGGGAGCAAGACCTCCATTCGTCTGAGTTCTAGAGTGAAACTAGAGAACAAATGTAATGGGAATATTATGTTCTCATGTATGAAAATGGAAAAATGAGTGTTGAAACTATTCTAGGAATGGGGGGAAGGACAGATAATGGAGAATGATGGAGGGGGAGAATTCAGCTATGATACAGTGTAAGAACTTTTGTAAATGTTACAACATACCCAAAGCACAACAACAATATAACAACAACAAACAAATTAAAAAAAACTTAAGAAAAAAAGTAGCTTTACCTTAACGGAAAGGAGAAAAGTTGAATTATAGGTGGAGACGTAAGGGGAGTCAAGAGAGGCATTTTTTTTTTAATTGAAGGACTTAAAAATTTGCTTCTACCACAAAAAAGCAGGATCTAGTGTGAGGAGTATTAGGAGATAAAAGACACAAATCACTGGAGTGGTTCCTAATGATGAGTCCTGCTAAGGGGGACAGTTTCTGGGTAGGCTCAGGAAGGAGGCTGTGTCCTGGGTGTCAGGTGCAAGTGGGAGGCTTGGCGGTGCAATGGAGGCTCTAGAAGGTCTCTTCTGACTGCATCTGTTAAGCTGGTGAATGAGGAAGCAAGGCGACCCCTGAGAACGAGATGGGCTGGGAAGTCTGCAATATGTCATCTAGGGGAAAGCATGGAGGAGACTGCCAGGCTTTGAGTCTCCTGAAGATGAGTGACCATGAACTTAAAGTACAGCGGTTGGCATGGATTATGTGGTGCAGAATGAGAATCCAGGCAGAGACAAAAGTTAATAGCCCCTTCAACACCTGCCCTGGGCTAGGGAAACACTTCCTATTTTTCCTTGACTAGTTAGGACAGTGCCCCTTAGCTACCTGTGGCGGGGTAGGTTGTGACCAGCTGCCATGGGAAGGCAGAAAAGGCAAGAAAAATTTTCCTATAGCCTAGATAGGAGCCAGGAGCACTGCCACATGTGGAAGAGTCCTGGGTCCTAGAGCCAGTCATGAGCCATGACTGCCTTCTGCCTTGATTGATTTTAGTGTCTCTTCTGAAGTCCCTACCATGTGTCCAGCCCTCTTATTGCATAATTGACGTTATGGTGGAATTGAGACCCACTTGCTACTTTCTCATTTTTTTTCTCCTATGTACTTTCAGGATTGTGGTCCACAGGCATTCAAGATGCAGGCTTAAATGGACAGTGTGGCGACATCCTCACCAACAAACGGTTCATGCTGGACATGCTGTATGCCCATAACAGAAAGTCCACAGATGATGAGGAGAAGGGCAGGAGTGAGGACGAGACTGGGAGGATGGAGCAGGAGGCAGAGGCGGTGGCCAGCCTTGCCACCAGGATATCCACGCTGCAGGCCAACTCTCAAGCCCCAGAGGAGAGTGTCAGGAGGGTGGGTGTGGGCTGTTTGGACAACCGGGGCAGCGTGAAAGCATTTGCTGAGAAATTCAACAGCGGGGACCTGGGGAGAGGTTCCATCTCTCCCGATGAGGGGTCCGATGACAAGGTCTCAGAAACACCTACACAGCTGAAGACTGAGTCTGATTATATCTGGGACCAGCTCATGGCTAATCCAAGGGAGCTCAGAATCCAAGACATGGATTTCACTGATCTGGGGGAGGAGGATGACATTGATGTCCTGGACGTGGACTTGGGTCACAGGGAGGCCCCTGGGCCCCCTCCCCCACCCCCACCTACCTTTCTGGGTTTGCCGCCCCCACCTCCTCCACCCCTGTTGGACAGCGTGCCTCCCCCTCCAGTCCCCGGTAATTTATTGGCTCCTCCTCCTCCGATGTGCAACGCTCCTCAGGGCTTAGGGTGGTCCCAGGTACCCAGGGGTCAGCCCGCATTCACTAAGAAAAAGAAGACCATCCGTCTTTTCTGGAATGAAGTACGGCCCTTTGAGTGGCCTTGTAAGAACAACCGCCGCTGTAGAGAATTCCTGTGGTCAAAACTGGAACCCATTAAGGTGGACACTTCCAGACTGGAGCACCTGTTTGAATCTAAATCCAAAGAAATGTCTGTCACAAAGGTAGGGCTGAGCTCTCCCATGCTTCTTGGTTTGCAGTGGAGGGTGGGGGCAGGCTGAAGAGATTTGTTCTCTAAAATTCCCTACTTCTTGTTGCCTTGGCAATAACTCTACTGGCATAAACATCACCTTTAGAATGGTATTCCCGTGCCACATTCAAAAATAACCTCTCTAAGAATGAGATAGCCTAAGCAGAAGACAAAAGGCTGGACAGTCCTATAGCAATGTCGGTGTTAACTAGAGAAAAGTGAGCTTGCTGGATTATGGTTGATGTTAGTATTTCAAATTTCAGCTGTAGCCACTTGATGTTGATGCTTTTGCAAAGGCAGTAAGTTAAGTGACATTTCTTTGAATCATCTCCTAAGTGAGCCAGCATGCTGCAACTATTTAGAAGCTTCTCAATAGCCATTTATTTAGCATCCTGTAAATACTTCACATGCACCCAGATTTCTTGGTTTTCCTAAATATTTGAAGACCTATAGGCTATGGAATCACTGACAAAGATGCTGTACCATATTTATATATGGGAAACACTACACTACACACAAAATGAGCATCATAAACGGAAACCCATGGCTAGTGAACACTGATAAAAAACTGTAAGATACCAGATAACAGATTGGCTTTCTCATGGTTCAGTGTGTTCGTAATGCCTCCTTTACATATCTTCATGTAAGCAAAAATTCTCTTTAAAGAAATTTTTTAAATGCTTGTGATTCAGGGTATATTCCAGTTTTAGAACAGGCTTAAGATCATCATCTCCAGCAGGCATGGTGGCTCCCACCTGTAATCCTAGCTACTTGGGAGGTAGAGATTGGGAAGATCATGTTTCAAGGCCAGTCTGGGCAAAAAGTTCACAAAACTCCATCTCAACCAATAAAAGCTGGGTGTCGTGGTGCTTGCCTGTCATCCCGCCTACCCAGGAAACATAAATAGGAGGATCATGGTCCAGGATGGCTTAGGCATAAATGCAAGATGCTATCTCAAAAATAACCAAAGCAAAAAGGACCAGAGGAGTGGCTCAAGTGGAAAAACACCTGCTTAGCAAGCGGGAAGCCCTAAGTTCAAATCCCAGAACTGCCAAAAATGAAAAAAAAAGACCATCTTCTCTTTTCAGGAAGTTAGAGAATGATGAAAAAGAATTTTTTTTTTTTTTTTGGCCAGGCCTGAGAGGAGGAGGCAACTGGATTTTTATTTAACAAGTACAGAGTGTCTGTCCAGCATACTGAAAATGATGATGGACAATGGTAGAAGTTGCACAACATTTTGAATCTGGTTAATGTCACTTACAATTGTATACCCAAAAATGGTTAAAGTAACAACTTTTTATGTTAGAGATATCTACCACATTTCAAAAAAAAAAAAAACATGGAAAAAGTGAAATGGGCATTCTGTTATTTTGCCTCTCCTTTGCAAATCTTTGGATCTCAATCTCAGAAGAACATCAGTAATTGTATGGTAGTGACTCTAGTCCAACCTCCTCAGTCCTTCTGCCTTAGGTGGAAGATCAAAGAAATAGACAGACTTAACCAGTCATAGTTCTCTGTGCCTCCTGGTTCTCAGTACTGTTTTCCCTGTCTTCAGCAATGGTACTGCCATTCCCGTATTATCCTTGACTCTCATCTTCCCCAACTGTAATGCCCTGTTGACTTTACCTTTGAAAAAGCATTTTGTAAAGTATACCTGTAAACATTTATTATTATGAGTCACTTCTAACTCCATGTGGTGTTCCATCCATTGATCATCTTTGGGACAAGTGTAAAGCTGCTTGAGTCAGTTTCAGTGAGGACATGAATCTGAATCATTTTCAGCCTTAGGAATCCCCTCAAGCCAGAGTGAAAGCTTCTTCATTTGTAAATCTAGACTGTTGAAATCTAATGTGAAAAGCCATACCTGGTCAGTCCTGTCCTTCAGCTCAATGCCAGCTCAGCTCTTATCCTCTCCAGAAAATAATACCAAGGAAGGCTGCGCTAGCCACCCACACAATCTATGTCTTGACTTTTCCGCACTGGTATCACGTGGTGCTGGGCCACCCACATACCCCAGGCTAGTTCCTATATTCAGCCTGGCATTTGGGAAGAAGAAGAACATCTGGGAGTAAGAGCAGTCTCTGGTTAACAGGAGGTACCTATGACCTGCCTCACTACCTCCACCCTTTGACCCACTGACCCAATTGAGTGCTGTCTTCCCCTTACCCCTCCTGTGCTCGTTTGCCTGCCTGTGCCACTTGGCTTCTTGTAATTGCTCGTCACCCTTAGAGGTTACCAGGGAAAGGCTGCTTCTTGACTTAGGGTTGGGAGGAAAGATTCGTAGTTTGTCAGTAAAGGCACATCTAACTTCCTTTTTTACATAGGAAATAATTAGTTTTTCTTGAACACCTAAAATGAGTGGTTCACCTGCCTCCCTCCTATTCTTGGTGCCACTATAGATGATTTGGTTGGTGATAAGATTTTGGCTTCTGCCATCTCAGTAGCCCAAAGGTCCATTCCTACGCAAAGTAAATAGTTACATCTTAAAATACTGTAATACCTAGCTAACAGCTAAATGTTGGCCTAGTTCTGTAAAGTGGGAACCTAAGAGAAAATAATAATCATCCATCTCTGTGGGTTCTGCATCTGCCCATTGTACCAACAGCAGATGGAAAATATCCCCCCAAAAAGTGCATCGCTACTGAACTTGAACAAACTTCCTCGTCATTATTGCCTAAGCAAAAGTATGACAGCTAGGTACATAACATTTTCATTCATTAGATAATGTAAGTGATCTAGAAATAGTTAAAGTATATGAGATGAGATCGGGTGCATTCAGGTTGTTATGGCTGTAGGCGATTTAAAGTACATGAGAAGATGTGCATAGGTCATATGAAAATGTGGCATTTTATGGAAGGGATGTCAGCATCTGAGGATTATGGTGTCCTTGAGGGTCCTGTAGCCATCCCTCTATGGATATTGAAAGACAATTATACTGAGAAGTTTACCAAATTGATTCCAGAATGTTCTACAAGTGAGACCCAGGAGCCTATACCTTTGGTGTTTTGAATAGAAAATGTGAGCAGGAACTAATCTGCAAGATGTCATAAAAGATGAGAATGCAAATTAGGATTTAAACATCACGTTGGAGAGGTGAATCAATTTTGTATATGTGATCAAGGCAGATATAACCAATTTTACTTCCATTCCTAATCATTGATTGTGATTTTCATAAAACATAGCTGTAAACAACCACTTCCGAATTCTGGCTCATGAGAAGTTTTTCATTAAACACAATAGACAGCAACAAAATGAAACAGACTTTACAAGACAGCACAAAATGAAGGGAATTGCTTTCAGCTTCCATTGGAAAACTAACGCCAGACCAGAGTTATAGGGCATAGCCACGGTCATCCAAGTCACCTCCAAACAGATTCAGATTCCAGCCAAACCCAAGGCTGAGTGACTACTTACTGAACATGATAAGAACAAAAGGGTGTGTGCTTGTGTTCTTTCTAAATGGTTTCTGAAACAGGATCCACTCCTCTCTCAGTGGGAAGAGTGTGTGTGTGTGTGTATAGATAGATAGAAATATATGTATTTACTGAGATGACATTATTGCATTTCGTAGAGAAAGAAATCCTATGCTAAGTTTCATCGTGTTACATTTCTGCTGCTGCTCTGAGATGTGAATCACATGGAAGATGGTTAAAGTGAACCCTGGCAAAGATGTCTGGGCAGAAAGCCCTGGAGGGTCTGCACTTGGTGCCATTCTGATGAACGCCAGTAAATGACCTTCCATGTAGAGAAGTATAGCTCCTTCTACTCCCAAAGGCACCTTTCCACCAGGAGAAGACAAGCATGGAGGGAAGTAGGAGACCAGAAGGAAGGGATCTTAGTTTCCCCATTAAGGACTTTACATTGTCTCTGTTGGGTTCCTTAGGTATATCAGGAAGCACTGGTGGTGGTGGTGGGGCCGGCACTGGGGAAAATTCCAGAATGGATTTGGAGCAATGTATTTGCCTGAAGTTCATATAGACTATTAGCAATACTTTTTAAGCAAATTTGGAGATGATTTAGTTGGCTAGGGGATAAGCCTCAGCCTGGCTGATTTTTAAAATACCTCAGGGACTGTAAAGTACAACCAAGGTCATAAATCACTGATTTAAGTGACAAATGAGGCACCAAAGAAGCATTGCATTCCCCCCCCCCACCTTCCACAGTGATGCCCTGACCTGATTTATTATCCTGAGAAGAGACACAAACCTGCCTACCCTATTTTCAAGTTCAGGATCTAAGGGACTATGTTATTTTATTTAACATCAACCTCAGAAACCCAGAATTCTACCTGGAAATTCTAAACACAACTTTTTATGCCTGTCACACCAGCACAGTGAATAAGAAAGTCTCACATGTCTACGGCCACACCACCCTGAACATGCCTGATCTCGTCTGATCTCGGAAGCTAAGCAGGGTCGGGCCTGGTTAGTACTTGGATGGGAGAATGTCTCTCATAAGTCTCCTTATGAGAAACAAAACCAGCACAAAATGTCTGACTGTTTAACCATTGCTATCAAAGAAGAAATTAATACTTTTTCTTTTGCTTAACAATAAGGCAAGCCTATGCCTAATCTTTTTGTGACCTTTATTTAGATTTGGGTTTGTTTTGTTTTGTTGGTTTTCGTTGTTGTTATTGTTTTGCCTTAATGCTTTGCTCTGTATCTCACCATTTCCCTTGTTGCAAGATTTTAGGAAAATTCCATAGTTGTCTCATCCTTGTGAAATCTGTATCACTGCATCCTTGTAACTGTCACTTTCTCAACAGACAGTTTTGAAAATACCCTGTGGCGTCACTCTTTTGGCAGTGAGCAGGGAGTAAGGAGGAATGATTTACCATTTCTTTAACTGCCTTGCTGAGCCAGGCACAGACCTAGGGTTTCTGACAGGGATGTTGAGAATGGGCACAGAGGCTGGTCACCTTTCTTTAGTGGCATTCTCCAGGACACTATGAGTTCTCCAGACTTATCACATTCT